AAACTGTAGAACTTACTGCATATATGGATATAATTTAGAGTTAAAACTTTATATTCATTTTTTTTTGATATTTATTTCCACTTTGCAGGAAAAGTGAAGAAAAACCATAAGCTGACTTCATTCAGCTGGGGATTCCATAACACTATGTACAACAACTGAATATTTCAACAATGGAAGAAAAGAGCAACAACAGGATAGCGTAAAGCAGAAAAAAAGGAAAAAGGTAAAAAATAATTTTCACAGAAAAAGTCAGAATGAAAATTAGAAAAACGGAGGAAAGTTTTTTTCATTAAACTCAAAAGTAAGCATGTGATGATATGAAAATGTTGAAGATACAAAAAGGAATTTGTGCTTCGGTTTTAATCGTTCTATGTGCTTCTATTTGAACCACTGACAACATTTCTCTCTCTGTTTAGGAATGCAAGTAAGTAAGTATGTCTTAACATACATCATTACACATTTTCTACATGTTACAATGACTGAGGGAGCTGGAAAATGGATAGAACATGAGAAATACCAAAACATCCGATGAACGAAATGTGTAATTATGGAATAATTTTGATCTTTAACGTTTAACTTCGTTCACATCAAGGAATTGAAGTTGCAAGGGAAGTGAGGATTGTGAGTAAAAATATTCAGCACTAGGAAGTAGCAACGGTCGCCTCTCCTTCATTCAGCAGCTGATTTACAATCATGATGAATGTAATAATGCAACAAGATACGACTCGCTATCTAATGAGCATGTTAAGTGCTTTATATTAGTGGATGAAAGTTGAACAATGGCTTAATATCCCACATTTTCATTATACTCTTTGCAAGCAATGAATTCTATTAACGATCTTAGTTCTTTTAGCAATTTATGTATTTATTATTGCAGATTATGAATGAGCATGATGTCCAGTCTATTTGGAATGCATGTATGTGCTGAGTCTAGTGGTATATTTTTGATTCTTGGATTTTTAGATACAGGGGTTGAAGATAGGAAAAAATGATGACATGTGATTATACGGATTATACCCAATTTGTAGTAAAAGTGAAGTCAAAAATCCAAAAATTCGATTCGTTTTAAGATTAAACTACACCTTCCTCCTACATCTCTTCAATCAAGCTCCTGAGCAGCAAATGAAATGCGCGGCACTAAAAACAATCAACAACATTTTTACCTTCTTTTTTACTTCACTAAACACTCACTTATTATTGTTATTACTTCACTACACAATTTATGCTGTAGATAAATGTCTTGCTGTGATCATCTATTAACATTTTTATAGCCTTATACTTACTCATTAATTTTGATAGACTTTTATCGCTTTAGTAATTTCATGTGTTGCTATATTATTTACTCATCCATTCCAACTCGGTCTGTACAAAGCTATTCATCGAGAATCCTTATAATTGCCAAAAATTGTAATTACACAGTGTCCAAAAATGGCATTTTTTCTGATAGAAATTAACGTCGATGGCGTGACTTGATAGGCAATTGCAATAAAATACAGTTAAATCATGGAGGCAAAACCTGATTTATATTCCTGTGTGCTCGCACATTCTTATCGTTAATTAAAAGCTTTTATCTGTTCCGATATCCTCAAAAGAGCATAAAAAATGATGTAAAACATGATGTTGGGATTTATTTGATTTTATTTCCCCACTCTGACTCGTTCTCTCGGCATATCTGAAATGAATTTCAATTTCAATGAGTTCGGGTCAACGTTTTTTGAAATCTTCTTGTTATTTTCATTATTTTTACTGCCTTACAGCTTCTGATCTTTATCATCATTCATACAAAACCCCAAAAAAAAGTGCACTTACTACTACGTAAATAGAAAGTTATGATAACGATGGCCATAGTATTAAAAGAGATAGAAGGTTGAGTATATAAGAAAAGGAATAAAAATTGAAAAGTTGTGGCAATGTTGATGGAAAAAGAATAAAAAAACGGCCTTTAAACATACGGACGGTAGTTTGAGGAGCTATCCCAATGGAATCATAAAAAAATTTCATTCCCTTTAGTTGATGGAGAGATTCTTTGTTTAAACTTTTCTTCGTTCTTCCTCTTTTCTCAAGTTCTTTTATTAAATTAAAAGATAAAAGAAAAAGTCAATAAAAAGGCAAGAAAAACTATAAACGTTTAAAACCTTTTTTTTATTTCTCAGCAAAATGGATTGTGTGAGAGGCTTGAGCTCTTGGGAAGTTTTGAGGAAATGAACTTGAATTTTTGTGGCTTCCTGGGACTGTTGGATTATAATTTCAGTGGAAAATTTAAAGATCCAATTGATAAATTTGTTTTTGTTTGATAGACTGCATCTGATTTTTGACTCTCTGAGAAAAGTTTAACTGTCAACTGTCAACTCGAATTGGAAACTTAATATATTAAATAATCAATCTGTTTATAAGTTAGCCCGCTGTGGTTGAATGATTAAGCTATAGAATTATTGACAGCAACAATTTTTGTGAGGACGTGAGTTCAATTCTCACGAAAGACCCGATGCCTCAATCATTACAAAATGTCTCAATTATTGTCAATACTAGAATGAACTAAGCCAGTCAGTCAAAAACCCCGACTTCCATTGTAGATTCCAATTCCTACAAAATCTCACCTAGCTTACAAGCCTCGCATTTATGATCATAGCTTATTCTTCCACTCGATTCATTCATATGTCTATTTACCCATGCGATTCATGAGAGCTTTTACCCATTTCTTGTGCTTCTTTTTTGTTTAAACCTTCATTTGTGCTGGAACATGCCAAGCTATGAGAAAGAAAAATGAACAATGCTTACAAGAAATGAATGAAAAATATTCATATTCGTACGGTATAAATATCGATAATATCAAGAAATCATAAATATGTGTGCTCCTTCTGTTCTATGTATCTGATAGTGAAGCAGCAAAAGCATTGGAAATGTAAAAAGCGAATCTCCGTGTAGCTTTTTCTTCTCGCTTCAAAAATCATTTTTTGTGCCCTTTTCTTCCTCTTATTCCTCGTATTAATAATATTTATGTTCAAAACGTAAGAGTCAAACATATTATATATATAGGAAGGAATGAATGGAAAATGGTTGAGATGGGATCAAAATGTGTGTGCATACATGAATGTTGTGTTTGAATGCCTTTGTGAAAATTGTTTTTTTTTTCTTCTATTTCACAATCGATTCATTTCCTTTATTGAACAATGTTCGAGTTGTTCTGGTTGCTGTCTGCTTTTATGATTATTTCAATATTATAAGCGATTTTCTTCTTTGCTTGCTTGTTAAGAGGAAGTCAGAACTTTTATTTTCAGAATCATGAAGGCGCATAAGTAGCTTGAATTAATTTCTGTTTTGCTAATTGTGTATCAAGAAGTTAATTAAGTAATTACGTTCTGTTTTGTGGTTGAATGCTTTCAAGGCAATCGATACTACAAAGAACAAGCTTTATAACTGATCTTTTTGTTCTTTTAACACAATAAACTATCATCCAGTCGAGATACTGACATTTAATAGAACTAGAAAGTTCATCATCCCGCCAAAACATTTTAAAGATCCAGAAATACATTTCACACCAATTTTCAACACAATCTACAATCATAATTTCGTAATCAGAACACAAACATTCATAAAACATCCAGAAAGCATTAAATTTCCCCAAAAACCAAAGTGATTAACCTCTAAACCACATTCGATCCTAAAATAGAGATAAAATATGTAATCAAAAAGCATCTATGTGAAGCGTTCAACCGACAAACAGATATTGAGGATAAAATCAGCATGAAAACTGATGCTTGAAATAAACATAAGGAATATTTGCACGGATAGGGAAAGTTTCAATTCGAAAGGACTGAAAAGTATGGTGGAAGTATCCAAAAAGAGGAAGACCATCAGCTATTTTAGTCACGTAAGAGTTTATTTATATTTTGCTTATTCTCCTCCTGCACAACAGTTAAGCTAGAAAACATACATTCATGCTAGTATTTTTTTGATGGTTTTTTAAGGAAAAAAGGAAGCTTTGATGTCTCTATATTTCAAAAAACTTTCTCTCATCCACTTCTTGATGGTTCTACCTTGTCATATCCTGTATGGATGTTAAGCAATAAACTTTTTTTTTCTCTGTGCTGTTGTACATTTTTGTTGTTGCTTAAAAACTCTTTTTGCATATTCTATTTATTTTTTTGTGCTGCCGTTTTCTGGTGATGGACAAAATGAAATCATTTATCATCATATTCCTCACATCCTATTTATCTTAATTCTCCATGCTCTCATTCAGTTATTATCAAATTTTTTTGTGTCAGGAGGTTGGATAGTAGCATCGCTTTAGGTTAAGAGCTTTTAAACTTATTTTCGGTATGGAGTAGATATAGCTTGTCTTTCACTTATGACGTCCGAAATTAACGGTCATTTTTCAAAAAAGAACAATGGATTTCCAGGAATTTCTATTGTTCTTTTCTCGCTTACCCCCCCCCCCCCCCCCCCCTTCCTGGACGCCATAAGTGAACGGCCCTAAAGGTGCTTTTACAAGAATAGTCAAAAATAGACAAGTTCTTTTGAAAGTTGGATTCTTTAAGTTATGACTCGAAGCTTAAAAGCGTCTCTATCACCATCCAGCTCTAACCTTTTTCATTCTGCAAAATAATTTACTGTAAAATATTTCAAGCTGCTTCAAACTGCACACGAAAAATAAAAAATGTTCAAATGGATTCTATTTCTACTTTTTTTTTATTATTGCAAACGAATGCGATTTCTCTCTCATAAGACACAAATCATTTTATTTTATCTGCACAATTTCATGGTATTACAATATGTATATAATAAAAGGGATGTAATGTTAAAGCATGAAGCAGTGATTTGATTGTGTGTATAAAAAAAAATGATGATAGTTCTTTGGCAAGGAAGAAATGTGACAGAATTAAATTTATTATATTGTATTATGATGTAACATCGAGTATTTCCTGTAGTTAAGAAGTATTTGATTTGATCCGAAATTAAATTTGATTTTAAATGCTCTTAATGCATCTTTTATAGATATCGATAATATTGGTTAAGGGGGTCCTTTGTTTGAATAATTTATGGGGTGTTCACAAATAACGTCTATCAAAAGTTATGGTTTATTGACTCTCCCTTCTTCGTTGTCATACTCTGTCATCCCAACAACCCTACAAAGTGATGGATTTATGACACCTATGTAATAATGAACATCATTTTTGACAACCCAATTAATATTTTGAACAATTTTTTCAAAAACAAAACCATTATTTAAACTAAGGACCCCCAACCGATTCCTTAATGCTAGAAACTATCGATTGAATCGAAACCAATAAGAAATAGTTGAGAGATGAAGTCGAAATTAGATTTTTCAAAAGATTCTTAAAAGATTTCATTTGAGTAAGGGATTTCCTTTGACTTCTCATCGTTCTTAACAAGCCAGAGACTTCCTGACGATGCATTCAATATGATTGGAATGAGTTCCTTTGCCACGTGATCTAGCCTATTGGGAATTCAAGGAAAAGAATTGAAACTCGTTAAGTATTATTTTTCTAAACAAATTTCATGTTGATTCTGCTTCTTACTTCTGGTATCGCATGCCTTGCATATCAATTTTCCGTGCACGTTCATGGTTGGGTGTATTGTTGTTTTGACGGCTGTGTGATATGGAATCAGATTCTGTTGGTCCCACACAGTAGCAAATCACACGTACTCCAGTTTGATTAAAATGATATTGATCCTTTACGGTCAAGATGGGTTAGTTTGATATTTTTGTGTTGTTGTTCGGCAAGAAGGATGAAAGAAACATAAGAAAGATCAAAAAAAAAATAAGAAAGAATGGTCAGTATTATCCGATAATATCATTTTTCAAAAGTTTAATCCTCTTAAAATGATTCAATGGAAAAGTTTTAAGCTTCACAACTTCTTCTTGCTGGAAACTTTGAGGAAAAGTTTGAAGAGAAACAAGAAATCTAATTAGAAGCCATAAAATCATAACTATCAATTTTACATCAAGTATGAAACTTTTCATCTGAATGATGATTAAATTAGTTAACATTACTGGATCTTTCAAAAGTTTATCTACAGCAGATGTGAGTCAAAATTATCTCTTAATGACATTTTCACCCAAAAATTAAAGGATCAATTATTCAAACTTATTCATCAACATCTTACAATCAATTTTTCAACATAACAGGCATAAAAAGAAGCCAAAAAGATTTTATCTTGATTCACTTTTCCTTTCGTTTCATTTGGAATTTTATGTACGACTTTTAGCCAGCAAAGAAACACAAGCAGTTGCAGTTTCCGTGGTGTAGTGGTAATCACACTCGTTTCACACACGAGAGGTCCTGAGTTCGAACCTCAGCGGAAACATTTTTTGGCATAATTTTTATTTTTTGATGATTAAAAACTTACGCTTTAGATGTAGACATAAGATTTTTCTAATTTTGTGGTACTAGGCATGTCACTGAACTTTGGGGGGGGTTTGAAAAATTGTAACAAAATGTAACATAGGGGGGGGGGGGGGAGGGGGGGGGGTCAAGAAGTATGTAACGTTCTAAGTGTTGTCTTAAAAAAAAGTTCACGAAAAAAATTTGATTACAAATTCACACAAAAAACATTTTTTTAAATTTTTCACCTTTTTAATGATAAAATAAATTATGAACGTTCAGGGGGGGGGGGGGGGGGGGGGTGGTTGTGAGTTGTAACATATTGTAACAAGGGGGGAGGGGGGAGGTGAAAAAAAGTCGTTTTTTTGCTTTTTTTGCGTAACGTAATAAGTGAACGGCCCCTAAACGCAATGTTATTTCAACAAATAGAACATTCTCAGTGGTATACTTATAAAAAAGTAAAGCCTCTGACTGAGGCAACAACACTTCAAAATAATCCAACAAAGCATATTCTGGTACAGTTGATTATCCTCCTTTGTTATTAGGTTTACAGTTCAAGTCTACAATTCTAAAATACCCAAACTGCTTGTCATGATTTAAAAGCTCTCAACCATCAATGCCAATCTAGGTCTGCACGTGTCAAAATATCGAAAAACACTTGTAGACGTCTCAATCTCAATTTAAGGCATTCAAAGAATTTTCCTTTCAATTGCTCGACTGTTTACAACAAGAAAATGTCAATGCTTTGTTCCACTTTCCAATATTTTTTTAAATGTAAACTTGAACTTGAAACTTTTTCTTTTTTTTTTCATTTCCATTTCATTGAAATTTGAGACATTCTCAAGCTTACCCCGTATGCTTTTGTTAATCCAATTATTGCATGCTTAGTTGCTGTATATATTGGTGATGATACAAATGGTTTTGTGCTGCAAGATGATCCGATATTGACAATAGTTCCACCATTTCCTTTACCTTTTGACATAAATTGATAAGCCAATAAAGTTCCACGAATGAAGCCATTCTGAAATGGAAGAAAGAAGGATTAAATTTAATTGTTAATTGAAGTTTCGAGTTTCATCAAATTACCAAGTTTACATCCGTTTCCAGTTCCCAAAATTTATCATTTTGTATTTCTGCATTATTTACTAAAATGTCAATCCGACCAAAAGTGTCCTTAGTCGTTAAGAATGATTCTGAAAAGAAAAATAAAATCATTTAGGAACGACATGTTGATTCATCCTTGAAAAAAAGTCACACCTTCAAATTGAGTGTAGTCAGTCACGTCACAATGACAAAAAATTATTCGATTTTTGCCAAACTGTTGCTGTAATTCAGCACAGCACAATTCCCCTGAATCACTGTCCAAATCGAAAATGGAAATCTACACGAATGGATAGGAAGGCAGACAGTTAATGAACTTTTCACTTTCTAATATAGAAGAAGAAAAAAATCGTATTTTAGGAATGGATGACTAAAAATATTTTTTTACAAATGCTCCATCTTTCAAAAGCTGCTCCGCAAAAGCTCTGCCAATTTGGACAGCACCACCCGTAATTATACAAACTTTATCCTTCAACAACATCTCACAAATTTGCTTTTTACAAACTTTTAATCCTCAATAAAAATGATAAAAATAAATGCGAAACACTTATGACTGTATACTATGTATAGCATGAAGGAAGTATAATCACAAAAGTTGTAAAGAGGAAGAAAAAAATTTTTTTGCGAAAAAAGTGTGAAGAAAATTCGCGCATGCGAGGTAAACGCCGGTCTCATGCATGTTTGTTTTTTAAGGAGATGCAGTTTTGAGTTTGGACAGGAAATAATGGAATTGGTATTTAACGACTGAACATTATTTGAATTTCATTTGCAATAACTGGAAGAATATTTTCAGCATGGGAATTATAACTTGATAACGTTAATTTGACCTAAAAAGGCATTAACGCATTACTGGATATAGATGATTGCATAGACAAACTTTTTTTGGACCAAATGATCAAGCTTAAACATCTTTTAAATGCTTTTAAGGTTTCAGCTTTCAAGCTTCTTTGCTTTTATTTACAAAACTTCCAAGATTCTTCCAAGAAAACTGGAAAATAGAATTCAAATTCCAAAAAACTGTTGAAAATTTAAACAGTAATTAAGGAACATCCAATGCACAAAACGAATCTGTCAGCACCGGCAAAAAAAATGAATCACATGGGGAAAATGATGTTTTGTGATAAAAGTGACATACATGTGTTGTGCAAGAAAAAGAATCATGAAATGCATTGGAATGTGGAACAAAACAATAGTCAGTGGAAAATGGAAATTTATATCAACTTTCAAAAAAAATTTGCTTTTAAAAATGCAAATTGCGTACTTCCGGACATTGAGCATTTCTTCCAAGAAGGAGTTCAAATAGAAAATTATGAAGCACTTCAAATGATCAAAAGAATCTTAAATTATGTTAAGAGCAAGCTTAATAATTTAAAAATTGAAGGTAGGAACGAAAAATAAAAGCTTGTATCAAAACTGGATGTGATGTTTATTGTATTTTAGAATGGGGCGAGCATACAAAGCGCCGGAATCCAGCACAGCAGATTGTATATCATCTGAAGAATTCTATTAAAGCTGAATTTGTGACGCAGGCCTTTGCAAAGTTTTTTGAATGCATTAGCTCATATCCAATGATTGACGAGAATCTGGGCGATAAGTTCTTCTCCGTTCATCTCTGTGAAGCTCCTGTAAGTAGTCGGGGTATCTATATTGTCAATTTTTAACTAATTAAGGTGATTGTAGGGAGCATTTATCACGTCACTCAATCATTACTTAAAGCTGCATCATCCTGAAACCAAATTTGAGTGGAGGGCTACCACTTTAAATCCTTATTATGAAGGAAATTCTATAAGCAATACAATACTTGATGATCGTCTAATTCTTCATACTCTCCCGAACTGGTTCTTTGGCGATACACATGATGGAAACATAATTGATGCTGACAATATAAGATCTCTTGTCTCGTACTGTAAATCAATTGGAAATGTCCAGCTAGTCACTTGTGATGGGTCAATTGATTGCCTAGATAAGCCAGAAAATCAGGAGGAACATGTATCAAAGTTGCATACTGCAGAGTTCATAACTAGTCTTGCTCTCTTAGCTGATAATGGAACAATGTTAATTAAAATATTTACATTTTTTGAACTGTCAACTGTCTCAATGTTGTATGTTCTTAATTGTTGTTTTAAGTCTGTAAACTTGTTCAAACCTGCCACATCTAAGGAAGGCAATTCTGAAGTTTATGTCATAGCACTTAATTTTAAAAAGAGTTGTCTGTCAGATGCTCATATAGATAGAATGATTGATAATTTTAAGGCTGATGGAAGATCAATGTTACCATTAAATCAAATCCCGCAGGATTTTCTCACTCAAGTGACTAATGCTGCTCGATTTTTCATGAATCAACAAGTTTCTGTGATTGAAAATAATATCAGAACATTTAAAAAGTACGATAAACGTGAATATGAAAGGATTAAGGCGATAAAATATCAGATGGTTGAGGAATATATGACGCTTTATCGCATGAAACCAATTGAGGAGCATAAGAAGTTACTGCATGGTGCTCAATTGAATACAGATTTAAATCTAAACGAGAGAGTTCATCGTGGATCACATTCAGAAAGGATTTCATTCCATTCATTAGACAAAAGTGATCAATTAACAGTTCTTTATGATCGCCTTAAAGCTTTCTATGATAATCTACCAAATCATGTCCTTTTATTCAATAATAATCCCATTTCCTTCAAGTCAGCCGAAGATCCAAAAAGTTTTATCAAAATTATTCGTGGCAAGGCAATCGAAAAGGTTGTCAGCAGTAAATTCATCATTGTATCAATTTTCAAGTATTTTAGTGAATTAAGGTCATTTTTAGAGGAACTGTCAGTGTATGAAGGCACCTGTAAAAATAATTTCATCATTAATGACAATCAAATAACTATAGAAATGGAATATTTCAAGCAATCAGTCAATTATGATGTATATGAAAAGGATGTAGCATTAACAATTCTTAAACACGTGCTGGAACATAAATCTGAGGAACTAATTGTTGATGGACTTCCTCTTTTAACTCAATTCATTGTCGGTGTCATTTTATATTTAGGATTATTCGTGTACGATAAAGTTCACCTTAATAGATCTGCTAATCATGTCCGTTTAATCACGTTGCGTGAGAACGGCATTGAAAATTTGAAATATGTCCTTGATGTGATCAATAAGAACAAATCAAAGGGAATTATTGGCATTTGTGATACAAAAAGTCTGTTCACATGCAATAACGAATTCTACAAGTCCGTCATTGACTATAATAATCACAATTGTATTCGTTTATGCTCATTTTATTTAAATAATATTTCAAATTAAAAACATTTTAATAAAAACTTTCATCCAAAGCTTCATCTGTTCTATTTTCTATTACTTTTAATTTAAAAAATAAGTAACAAAAAAGGTCCATTAATCGAGTGCCTATTAAAATAACGAATTTTAAAATTTCGAAACTTCATTTTTACGAACTCACATTTTTAAGACCATATCATTTTCAAATTCTAAAATGTCGTTAATTTCATCACGTGTTCTCTTCATTAATAAATCTGCAAAAAAAGATTAACAGAACAAATGTTTTTAAATGTATGGAATTAAAACGTATTTTTTATTCAATATCACATTTCATGGACTATATGTGTATGTTTAAAGGAGTAACAAACACAATTAAGCTCTTAAATCATTTTTGACTCCTGCAATAGCCTTTAATGTTTCAACTCGTGGCACGGATTTTCGACGGTTCAGGATTGATTTAATGGAATTCTCTGTCTTTTCAAAACCTGGCATTCTATGCTTTTGTGGCTTCCTTTAAACATACACATATAGTCCATGAAATGTGATATTGAATAAAAAATACGTTTTAATTCCATACATTTAAAAACATTTGTTCTATTAATCTTTTTTTACAGATTTATTATTGAAGAGAACACGTGATGAAATTAACGACATTTTAGAATTTGAAAATGATATGGTCTTAAAAATGTGAGTTCGTAAAAATGAAGTTTCGAAATTTTAAAATTCGTTATTTTAATAGGCACTCCCATTAATCATATATCATTAATTTAATCATAAATGACGGGGGTATTGTGTTAATTAAAATATAATTTAAACTTTTTCCTTATTTTCTCTCTTTGAAAAGTCATTGTACAATAATATAGGCTAAAGAAATAATCACTACTGACGTTCGTATTTGGAAAATTAGCGCATTAATGAATTCAACAGTCAATTTCAATTTTTTCAGTTAACGGTTTTTTAAAATTTAAATTTATTTTCCAGACATACAAACTGTCTCAAATAGCAACTTTCCTCATGTAATGCGCTAATTTCGGTTAATTTTTTGATTCTCGTGTTGCTTCATTTCCTTCGAGTATCAAGCTCAATGAAACTTAAAACTAATTTTAATTTCGTCATCTTTGACATCACTAAACGTCTACTAATGGATATATCCTACATACTTCTACTTTTCATTTTGTACAGTGAAAACACAAACATGATTATCGACAAATCCAGCAGCTAAGCTAATTTTATGAGGATGGAACGATAAGCATGATGTCTGACCGAATCTTGGTCCCATAAATCCTTCGTGACTTTGAATTGTGTTGATTTGCACGCCATCCAGACCATGAATCGATATTGATTGTCCAGCACTATAATAGAGCATGAAACATTGTTAATTCAGGCCAAATTCATGCTTGAATAATGGTCTATATTCACTTACCATGCAACAATATCGGCACTTGAGTGTATTGCAACTGATGTTGTGTCTGATCCTGCTGTCCACGTCTGTATTGATGCACGATTTCTGATATCAAACAGTCTTATGACGCCAAGCGAGCTAGAAATTAAGTAATAAAGCTTTAAAGGATCGCATTGGAACTAGATAAGTTAATTAACTTACGATCCAGTAATTAAACTCTCGCAGTCATTTCTTAAACATAAAGCTAGAAGTGATGAGTGATGCTCACGATAGGTCATTATCTTATTATCACTTGGATTAGCACGTCTATCGAAGATTTGCACGAATCCATCACCATAAGCTAGAAGATGAAAAGAATATTAGATTAATAATATTAACATTTTAGCGACTTTTTCAAATTTGAATTTTAAACGGATTTTCAATATTTGCATTTTTTGCGATTGATTTTTCAAATTATTTTTAGCGGCAAGGAGTGGACACTGGGATTAATCCCAATAATCCCAAATAATCCTTATAATCCCAGGTTTGGGATTATTGGGATTATTAATATAATTTTAAAATTTGTCAGATTTAAATTTATTAAATGTTAAAATTTTGACTAGTATTGAAAAGAACAATGTCCCCAAAAATCTTTGGATACATTTTTAGTTCAGAATATTAATATAAAAATTATCTAAAGTAGGGCAATTCTCCAGATGAGTTGAGTTTTTGAAAAAAGAGCTTTTATAATCCAAAGTCATTTACTGTTTACTTTCATATTTTTTTTTGTAAATATCTTGTCAATTTCTTTGTTTTGATTGCTTAAAGCAACTTTAAACTGTTTATTACGATTGATTCTTACTGAATCAACAATAACTCAACCATGAAGTGTTAAATTAAGACTAAAATTTAATTTTTATGAAATATTTGCTTAGCATTTTTTTCATGGATTTGCAAAATAAAAGCTTAATTTTTTTACTGTCAGCAAAAAAATCCACCAAAGAATCAAAAATTCTCTTTAAATAGTAATAATTGGAGTGTGATATGATTATGGTTAGATAGATTAGCTCAAAAACTACATTTCTGCATAATCATAATAAAAAATGAGTGTTTACTTTTCTTCAATTTTCGATTCTCCGGATGATTATTCCATTTTTTGCTGACAGTAATTTGCAAAAAAAATTGAAAAAACTTAATTATTGGCTACTTTTAAAGACTTAAATAGATAAAATATAATAGTTTTTGCCATTTTACATCGATTTAAATGTAAAAGTTATGCTTGGTAATGGAAAATTTCCAAGAAAATTTGATTCTCCGGATAATTTTTTGAAAAACTTATCTGGAGAATTGCCCAGTAATGAACTATTCTTACAACATTAAAAAGTGATTTTTTACCAATAAAATCTAGTGCACTAGTCAAAAATTTACAAAAAATCAATTTAAACTGTCTTTTAAATGTTATATTTGATCGATTAACAATGTGTTCTAATTAAAATAATCTTATATTAGCCCAAAATCAATAAAACGATACATATTCCCTCAAAAAAATTTCTTCGAACTAAGTTTTTGATTCGACAAACCTAGTAAAGCTAGAGGTGTCCTCGATGATAATTACGGCTAAGGTTAAATTATTGACTTTTGGGCTTTTATGGGGATAAACCAGAGAAATTGAAGATTTAACAATGCTATATTTGGTATTCATTGGATCTTATTTTTTCTAAATGCATCGTTTTAAGTGTTTATCCCAGAGATCGTAGCCGATTTTTTCGGTAATCTCACTGAAACTTTTATAGATTTTTAATCGTAGTTGTATCAGCAAACGCTGACCGAAAAATTTCAATCCCGATCACGAAAATTTTCGGTACCGGAATTTCGAGAAAGCATAATTGAGAAAGCATTGAACTGGAATGAATCTAGATCAGCAGGACTTATTTTAGTGGATAAACAAGATCATTGTTATTGTTTAAAAAAGTGTCAGATCTAAGGTAAAAAAAACCAACCACCATTTTGAAAAAGGACATGGTTTAGGAAAATTCTATATTGAATATATTTAACTGTGAAGGATAAAAACCCAAAATTTACTTGGTCATACAACACTTTTAATTTTTTTAATATGATCTTACGTTGAATTGCTCCAACGAAATTAAGTGAAAAAATTGAGAAAATTATGTTCAAAAATATATTTCTCAGGAAGAGAAAGAAAATCGAAATTTTAATCTTTTTGGTATGAATTTGTAAACAAATTTTTTTCGTGAACTTTTTTTAAGACAGACGACAGTTCGAACGTTACATACTTCTTGACCCCCCCCTTTGTTACAATTTTTCAAACCCTCCCTCCCCCCTAAAATGCGAACGTAATAAAAGAACGGCCCCTTATTACATACTTTAGACAACCAATATACTAAAATAACCTTAATGTTCCTCAAAGCGAGGTTTTTGTCTGAAATACTTAGTATAGTAGTCATCAAACTCCAACAAAACTAGTAATAAAGCCAAAACTTTTCTTAGACTGATGTTTTAATGTAGACATTACTTAGGAGACTAGAAAATACAACTAAAAACTCTGAGGTAATGTCTAATCCTTTTCCAGAAACCTATTGTTTAAGTAAATCAGTCAAAATTCTATGAAAAATTATTGTATGATGAAATTTATATTTTGGTACTCGACAAACACTTCAAAATGATATATTTTCACATTGTTTAAACTTTACAAGTCACAATGGCTTCAAATATCATATTCCTTACAGTTCATTTTCTCAAAAAATTCAAAATATTTGAATAATTTTTTCTCCAATAATCCCAATAATCCTGAATAATCCCAGCGTATTTTTGAGTGTCCACGCCTTGTTTAACGGTTATATTTTTACCAAAAAAAAATGATTTAATCTTACCGATAGCAAATAAAGCATTTGGTGCGCAGCTAATGTGAGAGATTGGAAAATCGGAACCAACAGGAATATCCATATATTTAAGCTCTTTTTCAGCATCCCACAAACGAATGACTTTAGATTCGCCTCCAACAATAATTGTCTGTGTACTTTGGTGCCATGCTGTTTGAAGCCCATAAATTCTAGCACTTCTAGCGGGCGGATCATCAAGTGCCTGAAATGCTGTAACTAAATTGCCAGTAAGTGAACGATTGCTGCTCTGATTGTCACAGCTATTCTTCCAAATTCTAATGCTTCCATCGTCATAGCCAGCCAGAACTAATCCACGATCATGTGAATTGATAAATTGAAGACTTGATACACGCATAGACGTTGGAGCACAAACAGAAACTTTCTTTCCAATATTTGTGGTCGTTTGAATCGTAGCTGCATAATGGTGAGTATAATTTGGTGGATTTAATTGCACTGGCGATAATGTTGTTGAAATGTCATTTCCCCAATCCTTAAGCATAATTCGGTCGAGGTAAGCAACAGCTATTTGCTGCTCATATGGATGTAATTTCACTATTGATGGTATCATTGCTGTTTTGCCAACAAAACTTTGTGTTTTTAAGTTATGAAACGTAGCAAGTCGCTGCTGATCACTAGCTTCCTTCCTTATGCGTGCATTTCTATTAAATCTCTGCTTTCGAACGACTGTCTCTTGCGAGAATTGATCATTTTCCATTGTTCCTTTATGATTAGCAAGGTACTTAAGAGGTTTAGCAAATGAGCTAAATTCCCAGTCAATTAAATTTGTTTTCACAATAGGTATGCGTAGCTTATGTACTTTCTCGCGATTTGATGCAACACTGCCGCTCATCGATTCACTTAGTCTAGCCGTTGATCCTGAATGTGAATTGTTCATATAGTTCGGTAAATTCTTAACATTTGGTGATGGCGGCAAACTATAGCTGTTATGGGAACCACCTGACGTTGATATTCTATTATTATCACATATGACTTCTTTGGCAAGTGGAATCATTTGTAATGACGGTGCAATTTCGACTGCAATGTGCTTTATATAATCTACAATTTTGCAACCCATTATCGCCACTTCTGGATAAGGATCACGTGATAAATTAACAATTCCATTCCATAATCGTGCATACACTGAACTGTACATCATCAAGTTCTTTTCACTTCCAGTTCTAAACCGTGCTGATCTTTTCAATGAACCGTCTTTAGGTCCATCATGATTATTGCCATCGTCCCGTAAATAAACTTCAACAAAATGATTATCAAATAACTTTACAATCCACTGTAATGCAGCAACTAATTCCATTCGTACAAGTGGACTCATGTCACTCGATACACATTCCAGCATGTGCATAGCAATCTGTCTATCCAAATCATTTGCTTGCGATGTGCGCTCGATTGCTGAACTTATGAATGTACCTAATGCGTAAACTGTAGCTGCACGTACTTCTGGAACTGGATCTTTTAATAATATGAACATTTTTTCATAAGCTAAGTCACGTGCTCCGGACCATCTTGCGTCTTCATAATTGAGCCATAAATTTCCTAAACAAATTGCAAACCATTTTCTCAACAATGGATCTGGATCTTCAATTTGTTCTAAGCATATTGACAGTAAGGATCCACGAAGTGCATTCGCTTGTCCTTGCTCAAACTTGTAAACAATCGTTGCCAGCACAAATGCTGCAAACGTTCTACAATCAAACTTTCCATGAACAACTGTGGTATCTCTTAAAGCATTGAGGAAATAGGAATCGGCACTTTCGCGAACAATATCTACTTGGCATGTCTATGTGATGTAAAATGAGGAGAAATAATTTTAAAGCGGTTAGGGGACGTTCACTTATTACGTTCGCATTTTAGGGGGGAGGGGGAGGGGGTTGAAAAATTGTAACAAAATGTAACATGGGGGGGGGGGGGGGGGTGAAAAAAGGCGATTTTTTGCGTAACGTAATAAGTGAACGGCTCCTTATTTGGCATTCATAAAATTTAGCGGATATAATAAATTTGAATTTTTGAAAACATTTGTATGGTTTTGAATTTCACAAAAGAATTTGTAAGGTTTTTAAAAATAATTTATATGGTTTTGAGTACTTACGTAATCAACAGCTAAGATTTTCGCCCAAATGCAAACTAAAAATGGTCTCAACTCAGTTGCCTGACTTTGGAGCAACTTCAAAACGTATGGAAATATTCCAACATTTAAAGCTAAACTGACAGCCCAAGGTCCAATATCTAGAAATTTCTCCAATAGTTCTAATGCTCTTATACGATGAGCCTGACTAAGTAAAACTTGCAAGACAATGGGAAGCTGTTCTGGTGGATTTTCCTGATCGGGATTCCCTTCAAGCCAAACTTGGAAGGCAGTCAATTGTTGTTCGAAGAACGGCGAGTTTTCATAAGTTTTCTTTCCAGCCAAGACATCAGGTAATTGAGATAGTGCTAAATCTAACGCTAAATCCCAAGCAGCCCACATTGGATGGCGAAAAGTAGGTGGCAATGCAGGACTTGAAATTGGCGTGCAGTCATACGATCTTAAAATTCTATCGGCAAGAAGGAAATTTCTAAATAAACTTGCAACAAGCAAGTCTTGTCGAAAAAGTGTTTGAAATAAATCACGAGGTAATGTATTCCATGCTATTGTGTCTGTAATGGCTGTGAAAATCCAGTTTAATTCACCCAACATTGTTCGTCGATCATGAAGAGCGCCAGGTATGGACATAATCATATCATAATTAACATGTGGGACTAATTTTGATGTAGACTTTAATGAGAACCATTTAAGGGCTGTTTTTACAGGCGTTGTTAAGCACGAAGTGAAAAGATCAGCTGGTAAATCAGGATTCATTGGTAGAATTTGATCTGCTGTGCATGCAGCAAGCTGAATACAATTTCTAAACGATTGATGTGAATTTGAATTTGATGAGGATGCATTAGCAGTGCTATTACTGTTAACAGTTGGCTGTCCACTTGGCGATGATCCACGATTTTGTCCCTGAGCTGCCAATTGTTCAGCTTCATGCTGTTCGGCAAATGTATTGAAGGAATTGACAATAACTCCAGCATTTGAGCAATCATAAACGTAGATTGACGGTGCTCCCATCCAATTTTGAAGGTCATAAATTGAAAGTGGAATATATTGAGTATAAGTTCTATTGAAAACCCATATTTCACCATTCTGTGTTGGACGTGGAACTCCATGACCATTATAATGAAATAAAACTCGTTCCTCCTTTGCATTACGTCGCAATGAGATGCATAATTTCTTTACATCCTCAACTGTTGGATCTAGTGACAGCTTATATCGAGCTTTAGGCTGCCACCTTTCATATTGCTTCTGTAGAGATGATCCAATCACTTCCAAGGCTTTCTGTGGTGCTACTGACGATGGATCTATGTAAAAATTATGATTAATAAGTGACAAGTAAGGATTTGAAAGTTTTTGGGATCTTACCGAACCAGCATTCAAGTCTAGCGCAGGGATCAATTTTAACAAGATCAGGAGGATCGACACCAACATTAAGGCATAGCACTAAAGCAACAGAAACTGTTTTCATCTGTAATATTATCAGGGCAATAAAATAGTACAGTGTAAATATTTGTTTTGATAATAAGAAGAAATAAGAGAAAATGGAAATTCCAAGCAACTTACTCTCTCCTTCAATCGCCAATTTTTAACCATAAGATTCGATGCACTATCAATTGCCTGCTGTTCATGACGGCGATGCGTGAAAGATAGTGGTAAATTATAATCATCGTCTTCACTATGCATTTTGAATATTCCTTCCTCTTTAACTCGCATTTTCAATCACTTGATTTAATTAAAACTATTTCCTCTCATATATTTTGCGTTTTAATGGATTCACATTGATTTTGAGATTTATACAAGATGAAGAACTGATACGATGATATCGACTAATGCCGTATGATTAAACAAACTATAATGTGCTGATTTTTCACTACGCACACCTTACTACTCATAGATTTTTACAAATAATATTAATTCTTTTAACTTGCTTATTTTTTTTTTCGAAGAAAAATCACCTCTTTGCTTCTTTTTTGCTTGCGCTTTGTTTTGATTTCTCTTTGTCGGTCCGTCCGAATTTGTTATAAGCTCAAGTTTCGAATAATGATGAGTTTTGAAGTTGTTGCAGGTATAAATTGGAATAAATGAAAAATAAATTACATGTGTAATGACTGGAATCTCCCGTTCGTTATTTTTACTTGCATCTATTTTATGCTACAGATTCAAAGTAATTCATGTCTATTCAAATATGCGCTTATAAAAGCTTAAAGTGATTCACATCCTTAATTTTTCGAAATACTGATCGCGACATTTGAGGTTACAAGAAGAGACGCAAAATTAGTAACGTATTTTTGAACAAAGCGCATTTTATAACATTCATAAAAATCATTGAAAATTTTTTTTGAAAATTGAAAATTTAACTGTTGAAAAATTTTTGAATTTTTTTAAAGTCTCAAAGTTTAATCCTATAGTCTCATAGTTTAATCCCTTGTTAACGACAGTTTTTTTAAATTTTCATAGTTTGACACCCTTTCATAATGGTAAATTCAAAACTTTAAAAAAATAAATAAAAAGGTAGAAAACAAAATAATAAATTTTTGCTAGCTTACTTCATTTTTCAAGTATTTAAATAGGTTTTGCGTTGAGTTGCAACATTTAAGCTGCTACATACTAATTTTTGTGTTAAATTGAACTTTTAAAGGTACGAATTGAGAAAATTAATTTATGAATTTAATGTTTGTAAACAATTTAATTTCAACAAATTAGAAACAGCAAAAGACTTAATACTGAAGATGAACAAGGACCAGTATGAGTATGTTGTTGAAAAGGTCGTAGATAAGCGAGTTAACGAAGACAAAGTTGAGTATTATATAAAGTGGAAAGGCTATACTACAGCTGATAATACGTGGGAACCTGAAGAAAATCTCGATTGTTCAGGCTTGATAGCAGAGTTTGAGGAAAACCTGAAAAATAAGGAAGGTGATAAGAAAAAGGGTTTCGATCGTGGCCTAGTTCCTGAGTGCATCATTGGTGCCACTAAAAGATCTAAAGAAGTGTATTTCTTGATGAAATGGAAAGGAACTGACGTAGGTGATTTCGTAAAAGCCAAAGAAGCTAATGAGAAATGTCCTGAGATTGTCATTAAATACTATGAACAAATTACTTCATTTAACGCTTTCCATCAACTTGTTCTGCACACTTAGTATAAATTGAAAATAAAAGATGCAGAACTCATTAGAACTAGTTTTTTCTGACCATACAATTGACTTCCAGCTCGAAAAATACAGCATAAAATTGATCCTGATAAAAGATCCAGTAAGTTTGACAGTCGGACAAATAAAAACCAGCAAAAAGTGGGTATTCCTCGTCAAAAAATTAGCTATCGTAGTTGAAGACCCCGGGTTTTTGCTGAATTTTGTAAAATATAAATTAATTAATTTTATAGTCTTTTTACAAGTTTCTTAATAATTTTGTTGATTGTAAAGCATTGATTGATCTTTAAATATCGTATAGCAATCAAGCAGAATCGTGCAAAAGTTCTAAAATAAAGAAATATGTCTGGTGTCGGTAAGTTAAAGATTTTTTGAACTTGCTAAAAATGCACATTTTCTGTATCCATTATTGCTCCAAATTCACTTTTAATGAAGCATCTAGGCCTTAATAAAGCTTTAATATTAGTCTTTCTTTGATTATGTCAGATATTTGTACATTCTTTGTACGTGATTTAATGCGATCCAGCGAAGAAAAAAAAGTTGGAGTTCTTTTTGTTCCTTAATACTCTCGTTTCTATGTATTGTGTGCATACAATATCCCATCCTTCTTCCTCATCTAAAATCATTTTGGCAAATTAAATAATATTTATTCTCTTCTTATTTCAATCGTCGTCATCATCTCATTCCCATTATAATCACATAATAAAGTGGTTCCACGAAATTTTCGCTTATTAGAAGAGCTTGAAGCTGGACAAAAAGGCGTTGGTGATGGTACAATTTCTTGGGGCTTAGAAAATGATGACGATATGACTTTGACTCACTGGACTGGAATGATTATTGGGCCCCCAAGGGTAAGCTATGACTAGACTAGGCTTGTAAGATAATACTAATGCGCAATTGTGCTGTTTCAGACACCTTTTGAGAATAGAATATATTCATTAAAAGTAGAAGCTGGCAATCGTTATCCAGACGATCCACCAACATTGAAGTTTCTTACGAAAATCAATATTAATTGTGTAAACAGTCAGACTGGTGTGGTAAGTATTACACATAATTCACCCTTCTTTCCTTCCTCATTCTACTATTGTTTTTCTTTATTATTGTAATCACAACCAGATTGATCACAGATTAGTTCCAATGTTAGCTCGATGGAATCGTGATTACACAATCAAAACAACATTGCAGGAAATCCGTAGAATTATGACGCTTAAAGATAATTTAAAGCTCACTCAGCCACCAGAAGGATCATGTTTCTAAGGAACAACATTCATTATGCGTGTCCGCAGTTTAATTCTCCAAAAAAAAAAAAATAATAAAAACATTTAAAATATGAAAACAGTAAGAATTTGCTAACTTAAAAAAATATGTTTAAACTATGAAAAACAGGAAAGCTGAATGGCATTTGATGATGGTTTATCCCTTAATAACGTTTATAGCACCGCCCTAGAATCACTTTTAATTCTATTAGTTCTCCTATCTTCTCGTCTCATTCATGAGGGCTTATTTATTTCAACAAGAATCATATGTCTTATTGTGTAAAAGATAAAACGAATACTATTGATGAAACACACACATAATTATTATTATTATTAATCTATCTCTCTTCTAAATGAATAAATTAAAGTCCATGCCTCTCGCGCATTGGAACTTACAGAAAAAAAAAATAAAATAAAATCATTCTTCACGTCTTTACTTGCTTACTTAATTATAATGTCAGATTTCAGAGTTGAAAATTGGCACATGACTAGCATATATTCAAAGTTTGTGCATGTTTGACGTAGTCATTTTCAACTGTCATTTTAGAATACGGAATTTAAAATTTGAATTCAGCATAAAATTTGAATTCAAAATGAAGGTTGAAATGTAACATTTTTAAAATCTGATTTAAATTGTCAAACCAACTCTAAATCTGTAGACTTTCGTCTTATTACCTGAGAATAAGATGATAATTGTAGTAATTGAATGAAAAATAAATTAAAAGTCGATTAGTATGAAGAATAATGAAAAAGAAATATGAAATTCTTATTATCGATTGATCCCACTTCTCTTATGGGTAAAACACATTAAAATACATAATAAATAAATCTGCTTAAGTAAAGGCATTTAAGAAAACTTTAAAAACTTTGTTTGTCATCAAATTGCATTTAATCGTCAAAACCCTACAAATTATTATCTGTGTTCGAAAACCCTACAAATTATTATTTGTGTTCGAAAACCCTACAAATTATTATTTGTGTTCGAAAACCATACAAATTATTTCCAGAATCCAAAACCATACAAATGTTTTCAAAAATTCAAATTTAATTTTACCGGTTATGGCATTTAAAAAATTATTACAAGAAACTAAGCGCTAATTTGGACACAAAATGAAGCAGTAATTGCAGCTGTAAATAGTACATAGTCACGTTGTCGTCTAATCCTTAATTCATTTATTTTTATTATTTCTCAGGAAAGTAAAATTTACAGTTTGAAACCAATTTGCAACATAAAATATTATTATTATTATTATGACTACTCGAATGGAACTGAGAAGTGCACAACAATACGCAGGTTTTCAGGTTGTTGTTAAGAGTTTATTGAAAGTATGTTTGAATGAATTTTAAGTTATTTTTCTTTTCCATTTGATTTATTATACTAAATTTTCTCTCTCGTCCACATCCTTTTAATCGAACATAGGAAGAGAAATGAATCGCATCTTGTTTCACATATCATTTTAATAGTTTTTAAATATAATTAACGGTGTTCGCAAAAGTCTCAGTGCGCGTTATCTAACGAAGCGTATTTACTGCGATTTATGTTTTGGATAGTATGCAATCTTTCTTGTTTTAAGTGCTGACCACTTATGACGCTTAATGTAGTAAGTTAGAGCAGCGAGAATTGTAAAGATACCAGCTGCTTTGATGAGCATTCTCTTACGAACATCATGTTCTGGCTCTGATGCCCATTTTAAGAATACAGAAACATCCTTTGCCAATTGACTTGCCGTGGCTGGTGTACCATCACTATATTCCATAGCTTCATTATACAATGCTTGTGCCATACCAATAGCACCACCTGGGAAATATGGATTGTAATATTGTCCTTCTCTCAAATTAATTCCAGCTGGTGGATCGACATAGCCAGTCAACAAAGCAAAGATGTAATCTTCACCGCCTTTACGTGCTGATACAATCCAACTGAGATCTGGTGGATATGCGCCATTGTTTGCAGCTCTGGCAGCTTCCTCATTTGGATATGGACTTGGGAAATAATCGGAAAGTTTTCCTGGTCTCATGAAATACTCGCCCAGATCATTTGGACCGTCTTTAATTTGAGCTTCTTCAGCTTCTGCCTTTGCTTCGGCTTCAGTGTGTGAAACGCCAACAAGATTACGATAGGCAATGTATTGCATTGAATGACATGCAGCACACACTTGCTTGTAGACTTCATAACCACGGCGAATACTAAAATTGAACAGTGGTTAAGTTATCAGAAGTAGCAGAAAAGATGTAAAGCTTACCTTGCATGATCTAATGAAGAAATAAGTCCGTTATGGCTCCAGTTTTGATGAGGAGAATGGACATTGTCGCTTGATGCACTAACAGAGGATTCTAAGGCATACAAAAGAGCTCCAGCACCACCAATGGTCATGCCAGCGAATGTTGCAAACTATATAAAGCGAATAATTTCCATTTATTAACCTATAATAAGGACATTAATTATAGTATCTCGTATCTTACAGCTTTCTGTCCACGGCTCCATGTTTTTGTTGATGTTGAAAATTTGTTCAGCTAAAATAAATCACATAGTATTCGTCAATTACAGTCAGCAGAGCGATAATAAGGATTTTTTTGTGAGTTGGATCATTTTTGAAAAAGATTGCATAACATTATTTAAATCACTGACTATTTCCTAGTTTTTCACACTTTAAACCACTTTCTGATCTTGTTTTTACTGGATCATCATAGAATCTACATGTTTTCCATCTTTTTCATCCTCCTATATTATGTAAATGCTGTATTAGCTCATAATAAATAAAATATTTTCACTTGTCTGAAATCAAAAATTTTCCTCTTGCACAACTTTTCAGCTTTTCCATCCTTAGTTTAACTAAACTCCATCTTTTTCGTGTCGATCCAGAGCCCACAATGTCGTTAAATTTGTTATTTACCTGCTGTAAAGCCTGTCCATTGCCTGATTTTAAGAGTGATGAAGATAGTCGAAGAGCCATATCAGAGATTTTTTCCTTACTACTTTTATTGACTGTTTTCGTTCGTTATTAATCCAATCACACTCGCCGCAGCACCGAGTGAAGAATGATGACGTCTTCTAATAAAAGAATTGTTTAAATTAATTAATGGAATTAAGGGAATTTGAGTTTTAGGAATTTTTTTACTGACTTAATCTTCCTCTTTGAAAAGAATATTCGGGGGTAGACTCTCTTGTGGCATCGCTATTCAAACTTTTGACAACCGTTGGTCCCAACTTTGTTTTTTTTTTGTGGACATGACTGATTACTAGTGAGCTTCTCGGGTTCAGTGAATTCTCAATTACATTAAGAGTTGTCTTAATAGTTTTAGAAACTCGTTAAATGTCCAGTAAAGCATGAAAAACTAAAGTTTGTAAGCAACGTTCGAAAGAATTTTAAAAAATCAGTCGACACTTCTTGGGGTTATTCAAAAATGATGTCAAACTTCTTGATGGGAGGAGGTTTAAAATTTTGTGAAACATCTACACCAAAATGTGCAGTTTCTGATAATTGGGAGAAAAGACCCAAAAAACCAGACTGAAAGTGTGACATAATTTAGGAAGAACCCTGATTAGTAAGCGACCCCTCGTGAAGCGAACTGTAACATCATTTATAAACCATTTTCTCGTCGACTTTCATTTTTTTCATAGGTGAGAACGAATTTTTATTAATTAAACCATTAAATACGCCTCAGAAGTGAGTTGAAATAGTTTTAAGACATAGCTAAGATGCTCATTTATATCATTAATTAAAGAAGAGGTTGGAAAATATCGATTTTTGTGAGAAATGTGCAATTTAAGATTTGCGTCACAAAAATGCGCTATTTTTTCTCACACTACAAAAGAAAAAGCAAAAAAAGTTTCTTTTATTTTAACTAAGCTTGGATTTATCCCATCCATTTAATTACAGAATAAGAGAGCGATTGGCACAACGCGACAAGTGTTTTAAAAGTTTTAATTTTTTGATTTTAACATCAATAGAGCGTGAGATAGAGAGAGAGAGATAAGAAGAAAAATGAGCGCAGCAACTGGAATGATGCCTGAATTAGGCTCAAAGATTAGTCTCATATCGAAGGCTGATATCCGATATGAAGGAAGACTATTTACTGTCGATCCACAAGAGTGTACAATTGCTCTAGCTAATGGTAAGTGCTCAATATGAATATAATATTATTTAAAGCGAGGCGAGTAAGACACTATAAAAGAAATTAGAAAGTCGTGCTGTGTGAACTGTATTGCTCCATTTTTATATATTTTCCTTATAATCGAAACTTCCGGAATATCTTTAAATTGAGCCCGTCATAATTGAGGGTTAGAAGGGTTAGTGTCTTCATATTCAAGTTTTGCATTTGTCAAAAACAAATGAATGTGAAATGCAAGACCAATTGTCTTTGTTTGAAATGCAAAGCGAATGAGAAAAGAAAATAGAGCATTTTCGCACACACATGAACGACAACGATATTATAATGATTCATCTCTTTTCTTTACGGTAATTGTGTACGAATATTGTTATTGTATACATATTGCAATGTGTTCTTGCCTTATCAGTTCCATTATTTTATTTTGTTGTGTACTTAATTCACATCTCTCTTCCCTTATTGCACAAAAAAATAAAGTGAGATCGTTTGGAACAGAGGATAGGGATACGCCGTATCCAATTGCACCTCAGCCAACAGTCTATGACTATATATTGTTCCGTGGATCAGATATAAAAGACATTCGTGTGGTAAACAATGTCGCCATTCCTAATGATCCAGCTATTATGCAAATGCACTTGCCGCCTAATCAGATTCCACCACAACAACAAGGATTTCCGCCTCAAAGCTTTCCACCAATGCAGCCACAAGTCGGACAATATGCGCCCTTCAGTCAAATGCAAGGACCACCTCCTGTAACCAATAATAATCCTTTGCAAAATATACCGCAACAACAACAACAGCCTCCACCTCAACAACAGGCTGTTCAATCTCCAAACCAACAGCAGCAGCAGCAACAACAATCGCAATCGAATCAACAAGGTAACACGACCAACACTTTAACTTCTTCCTCTTCTTCTGTGCACTCTAAGAAATCCAGTGAGTTATCTAAAATTGACAAACCATCTGAAAAGTCGTCGTCAAATTCCCAATCGACAGGTCCCATTAATATGAGAAAGCAAAGCAACAAAAGCCAAGGTTTGCAGATTCATTTGAGCTCTCATTTTTCTTACTTTTAATATTTTATTTCAAGTTATTACGCATGAATGCAGCGCATTTTCCCCATTTTTTTTTTTGAATACTTTTTGACACTTAACATTATATTTTGTTTGGGGAAATGCGAACGTTCTTACTAGTTGATTGACTGGCTTACAGTACATTATAGCATGCATTATCACATACACACATGTCTAGAGACTATCAGACATTCTCTCTTTAACCAATCATCATTGAACAACCATTGATTTTTCTTAGTTTGCCACTAGATTCATAATAATTTATTGCTTTCAGTTTTAATATTCTTTATTATTTTACTATCTATCCATTTCCATGCTTAAAAAAATAAGCCTTTTGCTTAAAATCACTTTTAGATTCGCGTTCTGGAACTCCGAATGCAAGAAAGTCACCAACAAGTGACATGGGCGTGCAAACTAATCAGCATCGCGAAAATGCTGGAAATAAGGATCGAATGCAAAGAAATCAACGAAATAATAATATGAGTAATATGCATCATAATCATGAGCGACGAGATTCTGGACGTAATGACCGAAATAATGATCGCATTGAGCGTAACGATCGCAATAATGAACGTAACAATGAAATGTACGAGAACAAGGGAGGATATCGCGTGAGTACTTTTAAATTCAAATTTCAAGTCAATGATTTTTTTTTTCAAATTTCTAAAAACTGTTAAGAATTCAAATCACTAAAATCTGTTATCTATTATTTTCATCATGTAGCAAAACAATCAACGCATGCCGACTCAACGTGGTGGCTATCATAATCATAATAATCGAAATAATCATATGCGTGGAAATCAAGGAGGTAGCGGTAGAATGCGTGCACCAAATGTAGGACACAAGCTTGATATTCAATTAAAATGACTTAATTATTTAATAAAAATAGTTTCAGTTTTATCGACCAAATCATCATAATCAGAATAAGCCAAACGGTGCTCCCCAAACCAATCAAGGACGAACAAATCCTAACAACAAGAACACGCTCAAGTTTGAAAATGAATTTGATTTTGAACAAGCGAATAGTAAATTTGAAGAGTTACGTACACAGTTGGCAAAATTGAAGGTGGGAACTGAAGAAAATAAACCAGAGCAGGTGATGTAGCTTTCTTTATTATTTATCGTCTCATATTTGGCATTTTATTCTTGATTTAACACACTTATTCCTTGCATAACCTTAAAAATTCTGGGATATCCCTCGACAGTGAGAGCATAACATATCTGGGGAATTATCACAGCTGTCCGTAGCTAGTTACCAACAACTCTTATTTTATTGTCTTAACAGGTTAATGGAGAAGTTGAGAAGAAAGATGACTCTGGAAACGAGACAGGCGCTGACCATGAAGGAGTAGAAGGTGATGATGTCCAAGGATATGACAAGAACAAGTCATTCTTTGACAATATTTCGTGTGAAGCCAGTGAACGCTCAAAAGGCAAGCAGAATCGCCCAGATTGGCGTCAAGAGCGTAAGATTAACAGTGAGACTTTCGGTCTATCGATGAACCGACGAGGAAAGTAAGTATCGACTGACAAATAATGGCTAGAAAAAATTCAAAATTTTACAGTCAAAAATAGTTTAAATTTTAAAAAACCGATAAAATTTTTTTTATGGAAGTTTCTTCAATAAGTTCACTTCTTCTTCTTCATCTAAATCTGATGACTTTGCATATATGTTAGAATTCCAATAATATTATTAAATTTATCTTTACAAAAAAAAAATTGTTGTAAACAAACGAATTGTTTACATTTTTTGTAACGAACTTTTAAAATTTGAAATTTCAAGTAGAGAAGGAATTATTACTGAATAGAATTGCCTAGCTACCTTTTAGAAACAAATTTCAAAAATGCGCTTAAAAAATATTTTATTAATTGAATGTTACTTATTTGTAGCATGAGAGGACGAGGATATTACAGAACTCAATACAACAATCGCCCAAATTATCGTCCAGGCGTTCCACCACAATACCGAAACAGCAACAACAATCGTAATAATCCTAACAGTAACAATAATCGTAGTGTCCAAAATAACAATGGGCGCACTAATAATCCAGGCCAACAAACTCAACAGCCTCAACAAACCCAACAGCCAGTGGCTGCAAAATAAAAAGAGCGTTTAAATAACCATACAGTTTTCCTCACACACAAAGGCTCTGTGAGGAATTTGCAACGTGTTTCTTTATTTCAATTAAAAAACATTAATTATGATTAATTTCCAATAATCGCTTAGTCTAAGCGACTCATTTTACACACATTTCGATTACTTTTCAACTGAAATTTTCAATAAGCGGCATTGAAACATTTCATCAATAGAATTACTACGTTGAAATTCATATGATTAACCTTTTTGCATTGGTCACTCACATAAATAAGTATTGAATTATAAAAATTTAGAGGCAAAACAAAAGAAGATGATAAAAAAAAATGTGAAATTCAGAGAACTTGCTATGCATAGAACACAAGATAAGAAGAAATCCCACTAAATTAGTGTCTTAAACAAAGGAAAAAAAAAACCTTTGCGATACAGCAAATCAACAAGAAAATAAACCTATAAACGCTCTATAACATCGTATTTGATATAAAAATGAATGATTTGAAGCTGAAAAAGATAATAATAAACAAAAACATTATACGATAATTGTAAAACATTTAATTAGATTAGCACATCATTAATTTCTCCAAGATATAATTTCTATTCATTTTCTTGTAAAGACGATCAACGCCGGCAATTAATATAAATTAAAATTAGTTTAATAATTCTGGGATAATGTGAACAAATACAAAAACTATATTTTGAAGGGCTTAATTAATCGCTATGTAAAAAAAATAACCCATGCAGAGATCATGGAAGCTAAGGAATGTGTAAAGATATTGCAGTTCTCTCTAATAACATATGTATAGCATGAAATGCGCTTCGTGTGCGCTAATTTGCCGGCCATAGAGCATGAAAATAAAAAAATGTGTAATGACAAATTAAACAAAAACTTGGACTACAGACAATCTTCTTGCAATAACTGATCGATTTGATTGAATTGGACTTGTTCCTTGAACTTAGAAATTAAGCTTTATGTGAGTATAAGTTAAGCCATTAGAATGAAAAGCGCATTTTTCTCATTTAACTGTCAAATTTGGAATTCCATTGAAAACGGCTTTTTTTAAAATTTGAAAAAAAAATTGTTTACAACGACTTTTTGAAAATTGAACAAAATCTGTTTTCAACGGTTTTTTGAAATTTGAATTGTGATTCATTGAAAAGTGCGCACAAAAATTAATCCTTGGGATTTAAATTTAAATCTCGAGACTTACTTCAAGGCAAGGACCAATGTCAATCAAATCGAAACAAAATAATGATAGGCATGCAGACTCAATTAATAAGTGGAATGGAATAAAAGATTGGATAAAATAATTTTTTACAAGACTTAAGGGAGATTTTTAAGGCAAACAAACAAAAGAATGACTATTTTATTCTCATATTAAATTAATTAATGTAGTAAATAATGACGAAAAAAAAACAATGAGATAACGAGAGTGAATCCAATAATATAGTTAAAAATTTCCTTAAGTGATTTACTCGATCCTTTCGATGACTTTTTCTTTTGAATCAATTATTCTCATTTAACTCGTACGCAGCAAGCATATAGCAGAGAGGATCAGTAAAATAGTTAAGTGAATAATTAAATAAATTAATGAATTATGGAATGTTTAAGCTATGGATCCTAATGAAAAGGAAGTTTGTTGGCATTTATGAGTTGCATCCAATCAAAATTGCATGTTGATTTCTGTAGATCTATCGTTACTGCCCTTCATTATTATATCGTCCATCCCCCATCAACACATATGAAAACTTGATTAACTTATGGCAATGAATGCTCATTCCCTTTGATATAAATAAACATATTTGGATGACAAAAAGAATTAATTAAAAAAAAAACTTCCACTCCGGGATAGAAGTAAGAACATATTAAGAGATATATTGACAGGGATAAAACATAGATTTTAAAAATTATTAGAAGCTATAAACTGATTGTTTTACTGATCATGAATGAGCCTTCATTGTCACAGAAATTCTCTTAATGAAAGACTTGTTGGAGATGACAAGCGAAGTGATTTTAGTTTTTTTTTTGTTAATAACAAATGTCCTCAATTAAGGAATAAAGTGAATTGTGATCACACGTGAAGGTTGAGATGAAAAATAATTCCAGGGGTCGTTCATGATTTTTTTTAAAAAAAAAACCCTCCTCTAATGACACTAGAAGCGTATCCAGCAGTTTTTAAATGTAAATGGGAGGGGTTAGTTGATCGAAGGGGTAAATATCATTCCTGGATACGCCACGTGAATGTCATTAAGCATTAGAACCCCCTTAAAAGTTGAACGACCCCTAGCTAAGAATACTAAATACTGTTTTTAATGAGATGAAAAGATTGCATTGTAATGCACAAGTCGATCGAAAGTAAAACAATTATGTGGAAGTGATTTTTATGAAAAAAATATTTGATATAAAGTAAAACTGAATCTAATAAACTACATACATTGATCTTAATGATGGATAAATGGATATGACTAATTTTGTTGAGAGAATTGTAATGAAAATTTGAGTTGTGAAGAAAGAAAAATAACAAAAAAATAATAATTCAGGTAGAAAAAGAAGAAAATAAAAAGTAAAGGCAACAACTGGAGTGGAATCTGATTGTGTTTTATTAATTTTTGCCGATGAAGCAAGCTAACAAGCTGTCAAGGAGACTTTGCATAAGTGCTAATAAATTGTATTGAAATTTTAATTTTTTTACAGTCTTCTTAAAAATCATTGAGCATGGCTGGATCTGGAGAAGTCTTAAAGTGTTGACAATGGAAATGGCTTCGTATTTAATTAGGAAGTTATTATAGAAAATTATGATGAATTGACTCGTTTTTGTGTACCGGAAATTACAGCATTACTAAGGACTGTTTAACGCAAAGCAACTATTAAAGAAACTAGCAGAAGTAGCTGTTATAATCCGGGACAGAAACTTGTTCATCCGCTTTATTAACGCCCTACGATTCACAATCAATTAATAATGATTATTCTCAGGGTCAGTTTCTAGGGCTACCCAAGGTAAGTGCCTTACGTTGCTCTAGAAACTGGAACCTGTAATCAAAACTTAAATAAAGTATGCAGTATGTCAAAACACTTCCCCTGTCTTAAGAAATATTTGTCTCTTACACTGCTAAGGTGTGGTCCTGAACCTAACATAATACGTAATCACATTTTTAGACAGGCAAAATGCTCAACCAGCTCAGACTAGACACGAAAAAAAAAACTATAGTTCAATGAATTATACTTTGGACTTTCAAAACTCGTGCGACGTAAAAATCATTTTTAAGGCAGTTCCCCCAGTGATGTCAATTTGTGACGACTTAGCAGAACTAATAAAATACAAGGACAGCGAAAATTACATCAGCTGATCTAGCTTTGCTATTTACTGCCCTATATATATAAAAAAATAAGTCATGTTTTCATCAAGTGATCACTAAATGAATGGTGATGATATGTCTGGCTTGATCTACATCATTGTCACTATCTCACCCTGCATGCCTGACTTACTATAAAGTTGATAAGTTCGTCTGGAGAAAAAAATAAATAAAAATCATCTGATTCGAGCTAGTTTGTAAACAAAATGTGCCGCATAAATTGCATAAATGAATGAATGAATGAACTGCATTAGTAATAACTAGATAGATAGTACTTGAATGAATAACTACGAACTGACTAAACATTTTCTCTTTAATTTATCCGCATACATTTTGTATTTCTTGTTATTTTAAGACCAAGTTCACGATCACCTTTAAAGCATTCTCACGAAAATAATGAAAGAAATTTAGAAAGGGTTATTCACTTCTTATGACGTTGGATGAGTATTAAGGTAAGAGGTTGCTGTGTTTCGATGTTGTTGATGTAAGGTTTATATACAGTCATATCATTAACTGTCACTGAGAGTTCTCAAGTGTCAAATAGTGTTTCAAACTCGAAATTCAATAAGCATAGGATGCCTTCAAAGTTCTTTTAATAATGACGTCCCCTTACAGGAACCTCCGAGGTGATGAACCTTCAATCCATCTACTTCTGAGCTCCATACCTATAAAGGTTTCCAGCATTTGAAGAATTGAGGGGTTGAAGCTTCGCTGAATGCTTAACACTCTCCGAATAACTCTCGGGTTCAATCTCAGCTATGCTGCTATTATATGATTTCTACTACAGTTTGTCTTCATGAATTCTCAAATCTAATCTATCAATTTTAAAATTCCAATTAAGGTTCCACTTCCATAACACACCTCAATCCTAATTTACCCAAATATTCAAGTACATCCCACAAGACAAAGTATTTGTTTATTTATAAAAGAAGATTTAATTTATTTTTTCTCAGAAACAGATGACCCTTTCAATGCTATTCGTCGTTCTGTCTGTGTTGGTTCCTCACATGATATTCAATTGTGATAAGATTTCTGCAAATATGGCAACAATGCATAGATATGCAAAAGAAATTTCAGGAATTTAATACTAATTGCCATTACGTCAAATCCTTACCTATTAGAGTCATTCATATTCAGGTAGAACTAATCTAAATTGACTCATCAGTATGCAGCTGCATATTATTACGAGACGTAACTGTAATTGCATGAATGGAAAATTTATCGATTAGAAAATGCCGGTCGAGTTTGTCGAGACAAGCTATTAAGTATTGAGAAGGTGATAAATCCTGATTACTTGTAGTCTAGTGGAATGGAATGTGTTGTCATGGGAATCAATGGGAATATAAAGTCTAGAATTTATGCTTGATTTGAAATTCTGGATTTAATTAAGTCTTGAAGATTAAATTTAACCCAAACTTTTAATCTCAAGATTTAAAATTAATCGTGAGATATAATGATTAATTTTCAATTCCCAGAAAAGTTGACAGCAGCTACTCAATCTAAATAATATACAATTACAGATTAATTCCTGAGAAAAACCCAAAATAACAACATCGTCATCGACAAATATAAAATCACCGAACCTCTAATAACATATTCCTGATAAAAGCTAATTTTCACATTTCTCTTGTCCATTTTCACGTGTTCGAGGTGCTGCTTCATACTCGGGTGCTATAAATTAAGAGCAACAAGTGCAAAAAAAATCGACCAATCATATTTCGTCAGTTCATAGTGGCATGATCATTTGTTAACCGACATTCAAGTTGCTTTATTTATAATAAGGGGTCATTACAGCAGGTAGCTTTGATAAAAAAAATCACATCGTGCATGCCATTTACTAATTAATTTTCCCTCAGTGATTGTTGCTTATCACGAAAAATAAACTTAATTCTAGACTTTATGTCCCTTGCATATTTTTAACGACTTGCGAGTGGGTTGGGTATAAGTTATGTGCTTTTAAAGATTTTCGATGCTGCATCCTTAAATTGTCATAAAGGTGCAAGTCTGAGTCAAATACCCCCCCTTAAGGCTCGTTCGCAAACAACGTCAAACATTTAGAATAGCAAAGGAGTTCAACAAGCACATGATAGCTATAAATGAAGCTTAAATTCCCATCAAATACCAAACATCACTTATGGACGAACTCATTATTGATTACTTTGTTATTATTTGACCAATTTTTTATGCCCCAAAACAAATTTCCTTTCTTTCGCTTTGCTGATCATACGATCATCGTGCGATTGGAGTATTTCAATATCGCCTGATGTTTCGCTCTCGTCTTTCTTAATTCCATTATTATCGAGTTGATGAAATTTCTTCCAGAACATTTTTTCCTCTTAATGCTGTCTATGCAATTTAAGTTTGTTTCGCCTTCTTTTTGCGCGCATTCTTATGAAAACATTGTGCATTACAAATTTTATCGCGTCTGATGCAATTGCGTTTCGTCAGTGTACTGTTATGCTGCATACGCTCTTTTTTTGATTCTCAAGTTACTTGGTTCATTGCTCAATTGTTGAACATTCCTTATCTTGATATCAATGACTGATAAGTTGAATTGCAATATTGAATTCCTGTCTACCTACTCAGACTATAAAATGTTCGATCAATCTCTAAAATAAATATTTCCTGAACTCTTTCACAAATTGGAATTTGGAACCTCTCATCATTCTCAACCCTTAGACTTTAGAGTACTTACAACTAGATTAGAATTGAGTCACAATATTTCGGAAGTTTTAGAATCGTGGTCAAAGGTCGTTTGTCGCGCGACTACTAGCTTATCAAATATCAACAAATCCGCGTCTTTTGACAAATCAAGTTTTTAATCATTGATGTCCCAAAATTCTTGAACGGTGTACGTGAGGTCACTCGGTTAGACCTAAATTCGGTTTGAGCACAAGAACTGGTAATCAGTCTTCTGGCGATGATTTTTGGGAACCAGTAAATTGTAATTACTTGATTGTTGCAACTAATTATTATTTGTTGATGCTTTAGGGAATTAAGAGGTGTCGTAGATAATCATGTCAAGTTGAGCTCCTGTGTGAAGCTTCTTTCAGTTTCTGTTAAGCTCGCTATTATTTTCTAGTTCCTTAAAATGATAATTCACAAACTATATCAATCCAAAAAAAAAAGTCATTTCAATTGCAACTGCGCTTCAGTATTCACCCTTTAATCTTCTCATGCTATCTTCTAAAGATGAGATAATTCATCATTGAATAATAATGCGTTAGTCTATGAAAATTACAGTAATTTTCTCCAAGTTATCTAAGAAAGAGCATTAGCATGTTCTAGATCTTATTTAAGTGACTAGATGTTTTTTTTTGACATTTATTTTTATCTCGAGAATGCACATTATGAATTACTAAATTGCCTTCAATGATTGAACGAGACACATCTTTATTCCATACATCGTAGGTTTATCAGGTAACTGATAATGTCGATTCTGTTTTCATACTTATTGAATTAATACACATGTCGATATTTTTGTGTCTATTTAATCAGGTGAAGTTAATTTGAGAATATCATGCGATTAAGCATGTTTAAAATTAAATTTATTGCTAGTTCCATTCAACCAGCCCTAGAAGGTCATTCACAATACAGTTTGAGAACCACTGCTCTAGTCCTTTGCGACATGAAATTGCATAAAGATTCAGAATCTTTCGTCCTTACCAAAAATCTAAAAAAGATAAAGGATAATCATATCTGAATGAGATCCAGCCCAAAGATTTGATTAACCATCAACATTCCAACAAAACTTAATATTTAGGTCTTTATTCCAATGTCCTTTCGGTACATAATCTACCAATATGCATGCATTGTGATAGTAAAAGTTGTTTTTTAGTTCATGGTCACCAGCAAAAAAAAGATATTTGCTCGTCTCTTTCTTTCTGTAGCGTTCCTGTGTGAAGCTGTGATTGCAAAAAATGTAAACTTTAACTTTTTGTTGTTTGTTTTGCTTCATGCCAGACGCTACACTGTAAAAAAGTATTTGAGAAGGCTCAGTTAATGAACTTTTCAACATACCGAATACTTTTTCATTATCACTAATGGCTCAAAAATATATGTACACAAATGTTGCAAAAGCAAGCTTTAATCAGACCTACAAAAATATAACTTGATGCCTAGATTAGATAACAGATATGAATGAAGAACAAAATCACACACGTGAGCATTAACAAATTAATATTAAGCATATGAAAAGGTTTTTGACAGCTTTAATTAGATAACACGATTTGTG